AATAGACATTTTTTATAAGATTATTAAAAACACTTATTTTGATACAGTCTATCATCAATAATTCAGTAGAGGTTCCACTCTGCCACAGATGCATCTGTGTGGTAAGAAGCCTGTTCCCCCCAACGATTGAATGTCTGAGTGATGTCCCATCTCTTATCCCAGCTAGCGTGTGTGCCTTTCATGTTGTTCCTGCCTATTGATTGCTTCCAAATCCAGATAACCAAATAGTCCTTTATTCCCAAAGTAGGTTCAAAACAGTTGGTTCAGGCACACCTCTAAAATCCCTGGTAAATCATGAGAGGACTAAAGTCCCGGTGGATGGCATATTGGCCATCCTTGAAGAGATTCTGCAGCCTCTGTTTGCTTGGCCTCTTTGCTCAGCTTCACCATGGTGATGGCCTGGGCTGCCCAGTCAACAAAATATTATTTTTTAAAAAATATTTTGTTTATTTGAGAGAGAGAGAAAGCACGAGCAGGGGGAGGGGCAGAGGGAGAAGCAGGCTTCCTGCTGAGCAAGGAGCTCCACATGGGACTCGATCCTAGGACTTCGGGATCATGACCTGAGCCGAAGGCAGACGCTTAACCGACTGAGCCACCCAGGCGCCCCCTTAACAAGATACTCTTGAAAAAAAAAAAAAGAACAAGGTGGTGAGAACTTGGCTTTACCAGATACCAAGACTTTATAAAACTACACAAATTAAGTGCAGAGACAAACAAAAGATTATTATATAACACTGATCATATTGTAGATCAATGGGAAATGTATGGACTTACAAAATTTTTTTGTTATGGAAATGGTTATTTTTATGGAAAGAAGTAAAATTGAACCCTTATCTGATAACACACATACAAATTAATTCCAGGTTTGTTAAAGGCCAAAATGTGAAAGGTAAAACTTCAAATCTTCTATTGAGAAGATAATATAGAATATCTTTATGACCTCAGGGTAGGGAAGAATTTCTTTTTTTTAAAAAAATTATTTGTTAATTTGAGAGAGAGAGAATGAGCAGGGGAGGAGCACAGGGAGTCTTAAGCAGACTCCACCTTGAGCAGGGAGCCCAGCGCGGGGCTCAGTCTCACGACCCTTAGATCACCATCTGAGCTGAAACCAAGAGTCAGCCACTTAACTGACTGTGCCACCCAGGCATCTCAGGTAGGGAAGAATTTCTTTTCTTTTTCTTTCTTTTTTTTAGGGAAGAATTTCTTAAACACAAAGACACAAAAAGCACTAACAATAAAAGAAAGAATATAAAGCTAGAATTTGTGTTCATAAAAAGACCCTGTAAAAGAGTGAAGAGAAAGCCATAAACTAAGAGAAGATATTTGCAACATGAACAATTGACAAAAGAATAGTATTTAGAATAAAAATACTTGCATAATAAATAAGCCCCTCCTGCTCATGCTCTTTCTCTCTCTCTAATTAATAAATCTTTAAAAAATAAAAAATAAGATAAATATATATAACCCAGTAGAAAAATGGGAAAAGACTTGAACATTTCACAAAAGAAGAAACTCACATGGCCTATAAATATATGAAAAGACAATCTCATTAGTAATCAAGGAGAGGAAAATAAAAGGCATATCAATATAACATTACATAGCCGGTAGATTGGTAAAATTGTGTAGGGAAAAGGTGAAAGGGAAAAGGTAAAAGGATGTAGAACAATAGGTACGCTCATGCATGACATGTAGGAATGTAGGAATGTAAACTAAAACCACTTTTTTAAAAAAGTTTGTCAATAGGGCGCCTGGGTGGTTTAGTACATTAAGCGTCGACCTTTGGGTCAGGTCATGATCCTGGGGTTCTGGGATCGAGCCCCACATCTGGCTCCTTGCTCAGCGGGGAGCCTGCTTCTCCCTCTGCCCCTCCCCCTGCTCTTTCTCTCTCTCTCACAAAAAAAAAAAAAGTTTGTCAATTACCTGGTGAAGTTGAACATGAACATATCCCACAACCCAGAAATTGCATCCCTAGGTATATTCCCAAGAGAAATTTGTGCACATGTGCACTAGATACAGGTACAAGAATGTATAGTGATGTGATTTGTAATTGCCCCAAACTAGAAACAATTCACTGAATACCAATACTAAGTTATATATATTATGCAGTGTCGAATTATGCAACAGTGAAAGTGAATGAACTACAGAGACACAGTTAACATGGATAAATATCAGTTATATGATATTTAGCTAAAGTAATATGTACCTTATGATTCAAAGGTGACACCAAATATGTTGCTTAAATATGCATAGATGGTACAACTTTTTGTGTGTGTGATTTTAACAACTCTGAAGAATGGTTGGTAACCTCTGAGTATGAAAGATAGAGATGCAACCTATTAGAGGTACACAGGTGTTTCTAAGATATTGGTGATGTTCTACTAATTTGCGTGATTTTTATGGAGTTGTTAACTTTAATATTTTTAAAATTGAACATATATTTCTTAAACATTCTATATGAATGATGTAATACATAATAGAGTGTTTTGAAAATACATTTAGTGAGTTCTAATGGTGAAGATCAATGGAACATTATTGATTATCCAAGATGTTTTTAATTGCCTCATATGTACAATAGTTAACACAGAGCCCAAGTGCTGGGAACACAGAAGGTGCTAAAAATATTTGTCAAAGGGAGGAATATGAAATCAAAACCTGTTATTATGGAACTTATGATCAAGTTAGGAATGTAAGTACAACATAAACATCGAAAGATAACACAAGGAACCATATATAAGGACTATTTGAGCATTATAGGCAGTAAAGGCTATAAAAATTCAGTCAAGAGTGGTATTTATGAATGATATGATTAGAAGATGCCTAGTGGGGAAATTGGTATTTGAAGTACTTGGCTAATATAATAATAATAATTGCTGACATTTATTGAATATTTAATATATACTAGGCACTGTTCTGAGTACTTTTTGTCTTTTAACTCACTGAATCATTTTCTTAAGAACCATATAAAAGAAAAACCATTAATAGCTCAGTCTGGCAGATGAGAATCTAAGGGTCAGAGGAGCAGGCAAAATACTTGTCCGGGGTCACACAGCTAGGAAGTGGCAGAGTCAGGATATAGGCAGTTGGACCTTAAGAGTCTTTGCTCCAGACCATTATGGTTTGCTGTCTCTTGGAGGATTGAGTTCTATTTAGAACAGAAAATAACAGGTGAAGAGATGATGGCATTAACAGAATCAGGGCACCTGGAAAATCTGACATAAAATTAAGACACAAAGCTAGTAAAATAATTCTGAAGCAGATTACGAAAAGACTTGATATTTTACTTTGGTAGACAGTTTAATTATATTTGTTGAACATCATAATATTTTAAATAATCTGAACTGTGGAGAGATGACTCTGAAGAAGTTGCAAGGATTTTTCCCCATTCTCTAAAAATTGAGAGGGTAGTAGGGAGAGCTAGAGGGATGAGGAAACAGAGAGAGATTGAGAGATTACTTTGGATTTCTACAGTTAGATAAGACTTTATGGAAGTTGAACATTAAGCAAGGTCTTTGAGCAAGCATGAGTAGACTGTGTGCAGAGAGAAGAACTTCCTCCTATATAGGTCTTTTACTTGATACAAAGGAGAGATAATTTTCTAGATAATGTGAAACATGTCAAAGAAATGCCATCTTTCTAAGTTTATCTTTCTAGTTAAAATCTTTACCGAGGCACGGAAAACATTAAAATGTTTATGGTTTATAAATTATCTCCTATTTTGGATTAGAAAGATATGAAATGACCATAAATGGAGAAACAATAATGTCTTTAAAATTAAGCGGATTTCCTTTTTTAAAAGAGCATGGGGGCACCTGGCTGGCTCAGTTTGAAGACCATGCAACTCTTGCCCCCAGGGTAGTGAGTTCAAGCCCCATGTTGGGTGTAGAGATTCCAAAAATAAATAAATAAACAGAGAAGAGCATAAAATAATTTTTTTAAAAAAATAGAGATGAGATATATAGGAAATCTTAGTTTAATTTTTGACATCCATATGGAAAATAACTTCCAGGTATTTAATGTTTTTTTAAAAGTCCAGTACAGGGCGCCTGGGTGGCTCAGATGGTTAAGCGTCTGCCTTCAGCTCAGGTCATGATCTCAGGGTCCTGGGATCGAGGCCCGCATTGGGCTCCCTGCTCCTTGGGAGCCTGCTTTTCCCTCTGCCTTTCTCTCTCGCTCTCGCATGAATAAAAAAAAAAAAAAAAAAAAAGTCCAGTACAGGATAGTGAGCATCATATCATATTATCATTGGATTTAGTAGGTAAAACAGTTTTATGACTGGTCATCAGATTTAGAAAGTAGTTTACCTTCTTGTGAGGATCAAGAACTTCTTTGTGATCTCAAATCTAGTCCCTTATAATAGTTAGAAGTAAATATACATGCTCATCCTTAGAATCTTGAAACAGACATAAATTCTCAGAGTTTTAAGCTTCATAAGGTGTTTCTAAGAAGCCAGAGAGAGCTGACTTGCATTGCCTCAGGCCTTAATAAGAAATGAGAATGTGGGCTAAAAGGGATGGTACAATATGTTATTATTTGGAAAAAATGTGAAAACTTGTAAGTCATAGTAACAAGGCCCCCTTCAGCTTATGCAATGTAACATTACTACATGGAAAGTCTGTTCATCAGCAAATGCCAGACATGAAGGTAAATGTATACCTTATTTGTTTATTTATTTATGATAGATGAGTATTTTATTATTATTTTTTTAAAGATTTTATTCATTTATTTGAGAGAGAGAGACACAGTGTGAGAGGGAACACAGCAGGGGGACTGGTAGAGGGAGAAGGAGGCTCCCTGCGGAGCAGGGAGCCCAATGTGGGACCTGATCCCAGGACCCTGGGATCATGACCTGAGCCGAAGGCAGATGCTTAACCAACTGAGCCACCCAGGCATGCTGATAGATGAGTACTTTAATACCAAGGTCATACAATAGCCTTTCAAAGAAGTAAAGCACAGTAATTATGGCGTTCTTGATCCAAGTATTGCCTTCTGTTTCTTTTTAGATTACATAGTATCTGCAAACTCCAAATTAGTTATTGTCACAGCAGGTGCACGCCAACAGGAGGGAGAAAGTCGCCTTGCCCTGGTCCAACGTAACGTAAACATCATGAAATCAATCATTCCTACCATAGTCCAACATAGTCCTGACTGTAAGATGCTTATTGTTTCAAATCCAGGTAAGTCTTTTATCTTCCCTTTAACTGAATAAAGATGATCTTTATATACTATTTTTAAAAAACAATTTCATTGAGGTAATATTTATGTACAATAAACTGCACCCAAAGTATATAAGAGATCTCCATCCCCCTCTTCCCTAGCCCCTGGCCACCACCACTTTGTTTTTATGAGTTTGGCTATTTTAGAATCCACATATAAGTGACATCATAAAGTATTTGTCTTTCTCTGTCAGACTTACTTCACTTAACATAGTGCCTTCAAGATCCATCCATGTCACAAATGGCAGGATTTCTTTCTTTCTTGTAGCTGAATATTAAATTAAATAATATATATGAAACATATATATGTGTGTGTGTATACACACAATGTATACATATATATATATAAACATCTTTTTTTTCTTGTGCTGTCTTTTATTCCTGTAACTTATTCATTTCATACCTAGAAGCCTGTATCTCCTTCTCCCCTTCACCCATTTTGCCCAACCCTCCCACTACACTCCCCTTTGGCAGCTATCAGTTTGTTCTCTGTATTTATAGGTCTGATTCTACTTTTTTTAATTAAGATTTTATTTATTTATTTGACAGAGAGAGAGAGAAAGAGCTTGAGCAGGGGGAGGGGCAGAGGGAGAAGCAGACTCCCCGCCAAGCAGAGAGCCCGATGAGGGGCTCAATCCCAGAACCCTGGGATCATGACCTAAGCTGAAGGCAGACACCCAACCAGCTGAGCCACTCAGGCACCCTCTGATTCTACTTTTTGTTTGTTTATTCATTTTTTGGGGGGGGGGGATTCCACTTATAAGTGGAATCATATGGTATTTCTCTTTCTCAGTCTGATTTATTTCAGTTAGCATAATGCCCTCTAGGTCATCCATATTTTCTCAAATGGCACAATCTCATTTTTTGTAGTTGCATAATATTCCATTATATACCACATTTTCCTTATCCATTTGTCTGTTGATATACACTTATATTGTTTCCATATCTTGGCTATTGTGAATAATGCTGCAAAAAATATAGGGGTGCATATATCTTTTTAGTGTTTTCATTTTGGGGGGGTAAATACTCAATAGTAGAATAATTGGATCATATGGCATTTCTGTTTTTAATTTTTTGAGTAATGTTCATGCTGTTTTTCACAGTGGCTGTACCAATTTACAATCCCACCAACAGTGCACGAGAGTTCTTTTTTCTCCACATCCTCACCAACACTTGTTGTTTCTTGTGTTTTTGATTTTAGCCTTTCTGACAGGTGTGAGGTGATATCTTGTTGTGTTATTTTTATTTTTATTTTATTTTATTTTTTTAAAGATTTTATTTATTTTTTTTTGAGAGAGAGACAGCGAGAGAGGGAACACAAGCAGGGGGAGTGGGAGAGGGAGAAGCAGGCTTCCGGCTGAGCAAAGAGCCCGATGTGGGGCTCGATCCCAGGACCCTGGGATCATGACCTGAACTGAAGGCAGACGCTTAATAACTGAGCCACCCAGGCACCCCTTGTTGTGGTTTTGATTTGCATTTCCCTGATGATGAATAATGGGCATGTTTTCATGTATCTGCTGGCCATCTGTATGTCTTTTTTGGAAAAATGTCTATTCATGTCTTTTGCCTGTTTTTTTAATTGGGTTATTCATTTGGAGGGTGTTGAATTTTATAGGTTCTTTATATATTTTGGATACTAACCCTTTATCAGATATCAGATACATCATTTGCAAATATCTTCTCCCATTCCATAGGTTGCATTTTAGTTTTGTTGATTATTTCCTTTGCTGTGCAGAAGCTTTTTATTTTGATGTAGTCTCAATAATTTATTTTTGATTTGGTTTCCTTTGCCTTAGGAGACATATCTAGAAAGAAGTTGCTATGGCTCATGTCAAAGAGGTTACTGCCAGGGCGCCTGGGTGGCTCAGTCATTAAGCATCTGCCTTTGGCTCAGGTCATGATTCCAGGTCCTGGGATCAAGCCCTTCATCGGGCCCCCTGCTTGGTGGGAAGCCTGCTTCTCCCTCTCCCACTACCCCTGCTTGTATTCCCTCTCTCGCTGTGTCTCTCTCTGTCAAATAAATAAATAAAATCTTAAAAAAAAAAAAAAAGAGGTTACTGCCTGTGCACTCCTCTTGGATTTTAATGGTTTCCTGTCTCACATTTAGGTCTTTCATCCATTTTTAGTTTATTTTTGTGTATAGTGTAAGAAAGTGGTCCAGTTTCATTTTTTGCATGTTCCTGTCCAGTTTTCACAATATCATTTATTGAAGAGGCTGTCTTTTTCCCATTGGATATTCTTTCCTGCTTTGTCGAAAATTAACTGACCATATAATTGTGGGTTTATTTCTGGGTTTTCTATTTGATTCCATTGATCTATATGTCTCTTTTTTGTGCCAGTACCATACTGTTTTGATTACTACAGCTTTGTAATATAACTTGAAGTCCAGAATTGTGATGTCTTCAGGTTTGCTTTTATTTTTCAAGGTTGCTTTGGCTATTTGGGGTCTTTTGTGGTTCTACACAAATTTTAGGATTGTTTGTTCTAGCTCTATGAAAAATGCTGTTGGTATTTTGAAAGGGATTGCCTTAAATGTGTAAATTGCTTTGGGTAGCATGGACATTTTAACAATATTTGTTCTTCCAATCCATGAGCATGGAATGTCTTTCCATTTCCTTGTGTCATCTTCAGTTTCTTTCATCAGTATTTTATAGTTTTCAGAGTACAGGTCTTTCATTTCTTTGGTTAGGTTTATTCCTAGGTATCTTATTGTTTTTGTTGCAATTGTAAATGGGATTGATTCCTTAATTTCTCTTTCTGCTGCTTCATTATTAGTTATAGAAATGTAACAGATTTCTGCATGTTGATTTTATATCCTGTGACTTTACTGAATTGGTTTATCAGTTCTAGCAGGTTTTTTTGTGGTTTATTTTGGGTTTTCTATATAGTATCATGTTATGTGCAAATACTGAAAGTTTCTCTTTTTCCTTGCTGATTTGGATGCCTTTTGTTCCTTTTTGTTGTCTGATTGCTGTGGCTAAGACTTCCAGTACTATGTTGAATAAAAGTGGTGAGAATGGGGGCGCCTGGGTGGCTCAGTTGTTAAGCGTCTGCCTTTGGCGCAGGTCATGATCCCAGGACTCTGGGATCGAGCCCCGCATCGGGCTCCCTGCTCAGCGGGAAGCCTGCTTCTCCCTCTGCCTCTGCCCCTGCTTGTGTTCCCTCTCTCGCTGTCTCTCTGTCAAATAAATAAATAAAATCTTAAAAAAAAAAAAGTGGTGAGAATGGACATCCCTGTCTTGTTCCTGACTATAGAGAAAAGCTCTCAGGTTTTTCCCACTGAGGATGATAGTAGCTGTGGGTTTTTCATATATGGCCTTTATTATGTTGAGGTATGTTCCCTCTAAACCTACATTGTTGATGGATTTTAGCATGAATGGATGTCATGCTTTGTGAAATGCTTTTTCTGCATCTATTGAAATGATCATGTGGTTCCTACCCTTTTTTTTTTTTATTAATGTGATGTATCACGTTGATTGATTTGAGAGTATTGAACCATTCTTGCAACCCAAGAATAAATCCCACTTGATTGGGGTGAATTATTTTTTTAATGTATTGTTGGATTTGGTTTGCTAGTATTTTATTGAGAATTTTTGCGTCTGTGTTCATCAGAGATATGGCCTTTAGTTCTCTTTTTTAGTGGTGTCTTTATCTGGTTTTGGTATCAGCATAATGCTGGCCTCAAAGAATGAATTTGGAAATTTTCCTTCCTTTTCTATTTTTTAGAATAATTTGAGAAGAATAGGTATCAACTCTTCTTTAAAGTGTTTGGTAGAATTTGCCTGTGAAGCCATCTGGTCATGGACTTTGTTTGCTGGGAGTTTTTTGATTACTGATTCAATTTCTTTGCTGGTTATCAGTCTGTTCAAGTTTTCTATTTCTTCTTGTGGTTTTGGTAGTTTATATGTTTCTAGGAATTTATCCATTTCTTCTAGGTTGTCCAATTTGTTGGCATAGTTTTTCATAATATTCTGTTATAATTGTTTGTACTTCTTTTTTTTTTTTATAAAGATTTTATTTATTTATTTGACAGAGAGAGAGCAGGAGAGCATAAGCAGTGAGAGCAGCAGAGGGAGAGGGAGAAGCAGGCCCCCTGCTCAGCAGGGAGCCCGATGTGGGACTCGATCCCAGGACTCCAGGATCATGACCTGAGCCGAAGGCAGTCGCTTAACTGAGCCACCCAGATGCCCCAATTGTTTGTATTTCTATGGTGTTCGTTGTTATTTCTCCTCTTTCCTTTCAAAGAACCAGTTCCTGGTTTCATTGATCTGTTCTATTTTGTAGTTTCTATTATCATTTATTTCTGCTCTAATCTTTATTATTTCCTTCCTTCTGCTGGCTTTATGCTTTGTTATTTTTTTTCTGGCTCCTTTAGGTGTAAGGTTAGATTGTTTATTTGAGATTTTCCTTGCTTCTTAAGGTAGGCATCTATTGCTATATAGTTCCTTCTTAGGACTGCTTTTACTACATCTCAAAGGTTTTGGACCTTTGTGTTTTCATTTTCATTTGTTTCCATGTATGTTTTGAAATTTCTGCTTTGATTTCCAGGTTGACCTGTTCATTGTTTAGTAGCATGTTGTTTAACCTCCATGTATTTGTGATCTTCCCAAATTTTTTCTTGTGATTGACTTCTAGTTTCATAGTGTTGTGGTTGGAAAAGGTGCATGGTTTGACTTCAGTCTTTTTGTATTTGTTGAAGCTTGTTTTGTGACCTGATACATGATCTATTCTGGTGAGTGTTCCATGTGCACTTGAAAAGAATGTGTATTCTGATGTTTTAAGATGAAATATTCTGAATATATCTATTAAGTTCAACAGATTCTTTCTTCTTGATCCATTCTGTTGTTGATGCTATCTGTTGCAGTTTTCATTTCACTCATTATATTCTTCAGCTCTAGAATTTGGTTCTTTTTTATGATTTCTGTCTCTTCATTAAATTTCTCATTTTGTTTTCCTGATTT